AGCTCACCAATGGGACTTTGCCCAGATCTTTCAAGGATTTGTGAGCTTCTCACACAACCCAGCCTGGTTAAACCCAGGATGGATCGTAGGCAGGCCAGCCTAAATGTTTCTAACCGGCGAAGATGCTCCATTAGGGGGGTCCACGTTTCGTAAGCGTAGAGAAGGGAGGGAATGACTTTGGCCGAGAAGACCTGAAGCGTCGTGCGGAGCGACAGACCAGGCAGCTTCCACACAGCATTACACAACCGAAGAAAAGATATTGCCGCTCGACTGATTCGGAGGAGACCTCCGCTGCCAAACCGGAGCTGGTCATGAGCACACTTCCCAGGTATGGGAAACTCTCCACTCTCTCCACAACTGCCCCATCACCGATTGGGAGTTGTGGGGGTGGAGTGTCCGATGGTACAAAATACCCAGGCAGGTGCTTCAGTTTTGGTGGGGCTGATGGTAAGGCCCCATCTCTTAGTGGCACGCTCCAGTCTCAGCAGCAGCGTCTCTAACTCCTCCTCTGAATGAGCAACTATTACCAAATCATCGGCATACATAACGTTGTTGAGCAATAGGGAGCCATCCCTTGACCGCAACCGGGCATCGATCAGCCTCCCATTATATCTGTACAAAATGGAAATTCCCCCGGTACAGCTATTTAAGGCTTCATGAACTACGTGGTCAAAACAGATGTTAAATAATGTGGGAGCCATCGGACATCCCTGTCACACCCCAAGGTGTACAGGGAATGGCTTTGACTCCTGGCCACGTAGTTTGACCCGGGCCCACTCACCATCATGAAGGTCCTTAATGATCGTGAGCAGAGGGTCAGGGGCTCCGAAAGCACGAACAACCCAGAGCCCAGGCCTACTGATGGTATCATAGGCCTTGACCAGGTCAATAAAGCAAAGATGTAGGTCTTGTTGGAATTCCCTACACCTCTGCTTTAGCAGATGGACAGAAAATATGGCATCTGTGCAAGACCGCCCTTTCCTGAAACCGCATTGGGGCTCCACAAGCCTCTCCTCAGCGTGCCTAGCAAGGCGATGTTGAATAATCCGTTCCCAGGACCTTTCCCGTGTGGTCCCCCTTCTTAAAGAGGAGGACCACCAGGGCATCCTTCCAATCCTGCAGAACCCGTCCAGTGGTCCAGACTGTTATGATGTCATGTAGGGCAGTCTGTGCACAAACGCCACCCTCTCTTAGCATTTCGCTAGGGAGATCATCTCTACCCGGTGCCTTTCCTGGTCTCAGACTCTGGATCGCCTTCAGTACTTCCTCAACAGATGGCACTTCAGCCAGACACTCACAGGGGGTGACTTCTTCCAATATTTGAGGCACCGCAGCCTCAGCAGGGTCATCCCCACTTTGTGCCACGATGTTTTCCTGGCTGAGGGATTTTCCCTCCCCCAGGACCTCAGAGAAATGCTCAGCAAATCTGCAAACCTGTTCCTGGGGGTCAGAGATTGGATCACCGTTTTTTCCCCTAATGATGGTAATAGGTGTGACACTGCAGGTTACTTTTTTGATGGAGTTAAATAGGGATTTGTGATCGTGGGCCACTGAGGCAGACTCCATCTCCTCAGCAACCCGCGACCACCACCCATCCTTGCAGTGCCTCACAGCTCTCCGAACCTTCGAGCCAAGGCTGCGGTAAGCCTCCTGATTCTCTGACGTGGGATGCTGTAGACGATTAGTGGGCCTGTCGCTTTTTCTCAACCATCCTGAACACGTCCTCTGTCAGCCAGGGTCTCTGGGGAGGTCTGGACCGCGTAGCCAAAGCAGCCATTGCAGCTGCATGAGTCACAGTCCTAAACTTCGCCCATTTACCCTCGACATCAGGAGTGGGGGACGATGCCAACCCCAGCCGCAAGCGATGATGAAATTTTCGCTTGCACACACACACACTCAACAACAACCGCCATTCGCCACTAAGTGGCGGTGACATCACCACGACGCTTGTGCCAGGCCACGTGCACCTTGAGGCCACGTGAAGTGTCGAACGCCTGCTGGCAGGTCACGGGGCAGACCCAGGTGCCACGGGTCGACTGACTGAGATGACTGGCTGATGCACCACCTGTGCCCCCTGTGCCAACCTGCTGTGCCTTAGCCACCCGGCGCTCCGCTCGTTGTTGTAAGCATCGCTCCTCCGCCCTCCGTTGTTGTTGGAGGGCGACTGCCTCCAACTGCCCAGTAGCGTCCTTCACGAGCCTCCTCCACAGAGGCTGATCTTGACACCGCTGGTACCAGTCATCGGCAAGTCCTCTCAGCTCCACGTCCTCCTGTACCACATCACTCCATCTCTTCTCTAGCCCGTGCCGCGCCCGTTTAGCCCCCTCGATCCGGCCAAACAAAAGCTGTTTCGGCATGCGGTGGCTGGGCATGCGGGCTACATGACCCAGCCATCGCAGCCTTGCCCGCCGGAGGAGCTCACCGATGGGACCTTGCCCAGATCTTTCTGGGCACGGTCCGGAGGCCCCGGGGGGACAGGCGTCTATGACTGTCTCCTGGCCAAACCCCAATTGGCGGAGCCAGGAGATTGAATCTCTACCCTCGGGGCTCCTCCAGAAATAACGAAAAGCCACTACGGATGGCCACGTGAAATGTTCACACACACTCTCACACACTCTCACACACACACACTCTCACACACTCTCGCAGGACGTGCACAGGCCAGCGCTGTCAGCTGGGATAAACCACCACTACCTCCTCCTCAATCCCACCACCACCTCTTCAATTCCACCACCACACAACCTTACACCATTCACACGCAACGAATCACAAGCAACATTTCGGCAGGGTGGTGGTGGCAGCTCAGTGGGAACACTCGCATCTCGCAGCGGCAAGAGGGCTAGGTTGAGTGGAGTTGTACGATCTCCCCGTGTGTTCTGCAGGGTGAGTGAAGTCTGTATGTTCTCTTTCCTTGTTACGCATGGGGGCTCTTCCCACAGCTCAAAACCCATACAAAGCAACCGGTAATTAGACCAACATATCCCCAACGCCGACTTACACAGCAACATTGCCACCCTCCTAGGGAAAATGGCCAGGACCAATCGTGGGATTAAACGCTAATTGTTTAAATCATGTTAGGTATTCTCATACTAATCACAATTAGAAACTATAAGTTTATAGTTGTTGGAGTATATATATTATATATGTTCTCTTGTTAAGGAAACTTGGCACCACAGACCGGAGTCAAACTTGACTTGAGAGCTAAGTAACAATGAAGCCCTCTCAGCACGATTTGTTGACGTGACAAACCTCCCTGATTGGCTGTCGGGTGGCGGCGGGTTTTCAACGACACATTTATATTTGCACGCTCTAACACCAAAAAAAACACCCTTTATTTTGGATATTTGGTTGCAAAAGCTTACTACTACATGTTAAACTGGTATACATTGAGAATAGGTTTTTCCTCTTATCTGGCAACAAAACAGGTGTGAAGTTGTTAAAACACCAAACTGAAACCTTTCACAAGGAATCATGTCTGCATTACCCACAATACTTGTCTCCCCAGTGGCGATGTATACACTGCACCAGGTACTCATTTGAGGCCGAGTAGATCCAGGGGATAGATAATCGTTACTAGGTTCAGATAATCGTCACTGGTGTTGGCTCCGAGCGGAAATGGAACTCGGATCGCCGGGTTCAGTGCAGTGCACTGACCACTGTGCCACCGCTCCCCGCTACCGCTCCCGAACAACAACAACCTCCATTCGCCACTGAGTGGCGGTGACATCACCACGACGCTTGTGCCAGGCCAAACACACAGTCACTGACACGCACAGTGGATTGAGCAGAGGAACAATTCTCACAGCCAAAATTTAGCAGCAATCGTCAGATTCGCTTGAAACTACGCAACGCGCCTTCAATGGAGCCAGGGACGTCGGAAGAAAAATTCAGGGAGTTGAGAACATTCGTAAAATATCACCATTTGTTTAATTGAACGTGAATGTGGCTCGAGATGTAACCATCGCGATCGCCACGAGCCTCGTGCGTTTCCCTTCTCGAGATTCCCCGGGGTTCCGATTCTCTCCGCCTCTCATCTTCACCGTCTCCTTTCTGCCGTGGTCTCGATCATTCTCCACGATTCAGTCTGCGCCCCGATAATTAGACCAACTGTATAGTTAGCGCATAATGAGCACATCGTTCGCATGCGTTTAGAATAACCGGTTGTCGCCCCGACCCCTTGCACTTGCGATCCGATGCACACACGTCGCGACCGGCGTCGGCTGTCGACCCCTCGAGTGATCTTCTCGCAGAATTGCTGCACCGTACCGCAAAGACGGGCAGCACAACGCGACATTCCGCTCCAGGCCAACGCCTCATCAAGGGTAGTAATCTAAACCGATTTCTACCTGCTGAACCGCACACCCTTCTGCAGACCAACACTGGACCCAGTCAGAGGTGAATATTGTCAAACCAACTCCCCCCCGCCCCTCCCGACTCCCGCAAACCAAAAAGGAACACTTAATAATTTGCCGATAACATCTCGATATATAGAGAACTGCAGAGCTTGGGCAACCGTTGGTAGCACCGGCTCACCGCCGTGTGGCTGCTGCTGCTGCCTTCCCGCTCGTCTGTGGTTCCTCCTCGTGCCTCTTGAGTCGTTCCCCTCTCTCGACCTACGGCAGCGAGCGGCGCACGGTGACGATTTGACATCGCTGTGATTATCGATAACATTGTCAATAGCGCCGTTCGGATATCAATTTTCTGCTGGGTGGACTCTTTACATCGCAGGATTGTGAGAGGTGTCGTCGGCTTAGGGGAAGGGAGGCCTTCATCCAGCAGCGGATTGACCAAGGCTGACGATGATGATGACGAGTGCTCTGTTGCTGGCCACTTGGCATCTTGCACCCGTGCTCAGTAACATCGCTCGCAGAGGGAGGCTCGCTGATGGTGGCTCGCTGAGAAGTGGGGACTCACCTCTACCTGATACACTGCTGGCGGTGTTCCCAGAGGTACTGGAAGATCCGGTTCGAGAGGGGGGAGTGGGGGGGGGGCGTGGGGGAGGCGTGGGGGGGGAGTGGGGGGGGGGAGTGGGGGGGCGTGGGGGTGGGGGTGGGGACAGTGCTGCTAATCCGTTTCACGTCGCACTCTCCGCCAGAGGCCCATCGCTGTCACTTGCGTCATCATCGCTCCCATCCTCTCCATCTCCTCCGTGGTCTCCTCCATGGACCTCTTCACGGTCCCCTCCCTGGTCCCCTCCCTGGTCCCCTCCCTGGTCCCCTCCCTGGTCCCCTCCCTGGTCCCCTCCCTGGTCCCCTCCCTGGTCCCCTCCCTGGTCTCCGGGCTCTTCTTTATCTCCTTGGTTGCCCAGACTGGCACAGGAAGGCAGAACGTTGGGACTAAGTGAGAGACAACTACAACAAATTTACGGTTTTCAACTCACACAAATGTTGTACGAATAATCATTATCACCATCAACGCCATCACCATCGTATCGACACGCACGGTCTATCACCGTCAGATCTCACTGCAGCTTGGCCTGCGAGCTGTGCAGTGCCCCGTGACGCCCGGCAGCGGTTCCCGCGCTCACGTGGGCCTCTCCACGTCAGCTACCCGGCTCCCCGACACGCTCGTGGGGGAATCGCGGCCGTCTCACGACTCGTGCGAAGGATACGTAAATTGTTTTTTCTTGGTGCCGACGGAGGGGGAAAAAAACCCCCCAGAACAGAATGTACAAAAATGAGACGGCACAATCGTAAAGAAAACAACAACAACAAAAACTCGACGGGCCGAAACAAGGGCCAGGGAAATCGCTTCAATCGTTCCCGGGATCGAGCAGCCAGCGCAAAACCCCACACACATTCACGGCATTCACTGGAGCGGGAGGGAGTGGGTGAACACAAACAATCCCCCCGTGTAGCCTTAACAGACTGTTGGGGCAAGTGTTGTTAGCGAGTAGCACCGATGAAGGCCGGCACGGCACACGAGGGGGTGGTGTGGCCAGCACCACGCCCGGCCGCCTTTGTCTCCCCAGTGGCGATGTTTTGTTGCACGTCACACCAGGTACTCATTTGACACTTAGTCTACCTAGGGGAGACGCAGGACCGGTTCTTGGCCGTTGAACAGGGAATTTAACCTTATGGCGGGACCCTGGGGTTCCCGAATAAACGGAAGTCAAAATCGTAATTCATTAATTTATCTTTGGCGACTTCGTCCCACCGCGCACACAAACGCCGCGACCCACCTGGCACGGATCATTCCTGTTGCCATGTCGTCTACGCGCAGCGAGGACGAATGCGCAGAAGAAACAAAACTTTGATGAGCGCATCGTGTAGAGCTCGTCGAGAGGAATAGGTCGCCGCATCGTTCGCCTTCAACGGACGTACAATGACGTCGCAACGCAGTTTATGCGAGAGCCGAGGGGCTTAAGGGAGACCCCAGGGTCCCGCCATGAGGTTCACTTTAACACGGGTTGTCGTGGTGCAGCGCGCTGACCGCACACCTCGTCTTAACCACGAGCAGGCTTGTTTTCCTACAGGGACGGACGGCAATTGGCTCAGCTGCGGCTGTTATTGAACGCATGTGAGCGGCACATTGCGCTGCTGCTGCCGGCACATCCTCCCGACTACGGTGACGATGACGCCGAAGGAGATTATATGTAGCTCACTGCAGCAACACTTTGGCTCATCTTGTCGGTTTCACAAAGCAGGACGCCGAATCACGTGAACTGGAGGGGTGGCGGTGACTCACGGAGTGACGACACCCCCCTCCGTGCCACACTTGGCGCAGATCCCGAGGCGCACGGCGCAGTGGATGCACGCCGTGTGGTACGCGCGCAGCACCGTCCTCTGCTGGCACCGCACGCTGGGGACGACACGGGGAGACACGGGGACACCCGTACCTCCGATGAGCACGGTTGGCTATGTACATTGCGACAGTGACACGGTGAGACGGTGAGACGGGGATGGCGTGAAGGTGATATAGTTAAAAAAAAGCCACATTTTTCAAATTTTTCTTGCTGTGGTTTTCACACCTGATGACGATTGCTTGTGTTGCAGTCGAAACATCGTTAGAATTTTATTATTTTATATTTTTATTATTTTGTTTCGTTCTACGTGACTTTACCGAAAGAACCAAGAATATGAATCCCTGCAGTCACGAAAGCTTTAAACAAAACACTGTGGATGTAAAGATAGAATCTGGCCGGAACATAAAGAAGAATAACAAAGGAACAGAATGTTAAGAATTGGGCTATTTTGATGCGAAACACGTTTACAAATTGTTTGTGGCGTGGTCTGCTTGCCAGACGCACACACACGGCAGTGCACTGGTCAGCGATGCGCTGCGCTACGAACCCGGTGACCCCAGGGATGGTTCCCACTTATGGCCAAGAGCAGTGGCGAATATCTAAACTGCACCTGGGCCTCTACTTGATCGGCTCAACTGCAAATGAGTACCTGGTGTCGCGTGTAAAACATCAGCTCTGGGGAGGCAAAGGAGGCCGGGCGTGGTGCCGGTTACTCCCACCCCACCTCGTGCGCCGTGCCGGCATTCACAGGTGCTACTCGCTAACAGCACTTGCCCCAACAGTCTGTTAAAGGCTACACGGGGTGGGGGGGGGGTCTTTGTGCGCCGGTGTCGGCGGCCGCGACAAAAGCGCCGGCTGCTTCCAGCTAACGGCAGAGACGCCTGGCGCCCTAAAACAATTGTGATTCACGACGAGGGATTATCGCCGCTGTCGTTCTTGTAGCTCAGGGGAGCCATCACCATCAAGGACAGAGCCTGCAGTACGAGTCATCTCGATACATTGCGAATAGAGGGGGGCACCCCCAGTGGCAGCTGTCCCCGTGCAGCACAAGGTGACTTAAATCTGGCCTGCGGGTAGGGATTCGTTTTCCGGAAGAATGAAGAGTGTTGCTGTGTGTAATGTGAACCGAGAAATTTGATCAAATTTGGGAAAATTGCAGACGTGACACTGGCACACTACTCGTTTCTAGTGACGTGACACGGGATCTGTAACGTCCACTGCAAGTGAAACAGACGGCGCGTCGTATTTTGGAGTAAATACACAACACGGTATTAACCAGGGCGGTCGCCGGATTCGAAACAGAAATCTCCGGGAGACGACAGAAGACAGGCATGGGAGACAGAAGACAGGCATGGGAGAAGGAGACAGTGTACAGGGAGACAGGAGACAGTGTACGGGGAGACAGGAGACAGTGTACGGGGAGACAGGAGACAGTGTACGGGGAGACAGGAGAGTGTACAGGGAGACAGGAGACAGTGTACAGAGAGACAGGAGACAGTGTACGGGGAGACAGGAGACAGTGTACAGGGAGACAGGAGACAGTGTACGGGGAGACAGGAGACAGTGTACGGGGAGACAGGAGACAGTGTACAGGGAGACAGGAGACAGTGTACAGGGAGACAGGAGACAGTGTACGGGGAGACAGGAGACAGTGTACAGGGAGACAGGAGACAGTGTACGGGGAGACAGTGTACGGGGAGACAGGAGACAGTGTACAGGGAGACAGGAGACAGTGTACGGGGAGACAGGAGACAGTGTACGGGGAGACAGGAGACAGTGTACAGGGAGACAGTGTACGGGGAGACAGGAGACAGTGTACGGGGAGACAGGAGACAGTGTACAGGGAGACAGGAGACAGTGTACGGGGAGACAGTGTACGGGGAGACAGGAGAGTGTACAGGGAGACAGGAGACTGTACAGAGAGACAGGAGACAGTGTACGGGGAGACAGGAGACAGTGTACAGGGAGACAGGAGACAGTGTACGGGGAGACAGGAGACAGTGTACGGGGAGACAGGAGACAGTGTACAGGGAGACAGGAGACAGTGTACAGGGAGACAGGAGACAGTGTACGGGGAGACAGGAGACAGTGTACAGGGAGACAGGAGACAGTGTACGGGGAGACAGTGTACGGGGAGACAGGAGACAGTGTACAGGGAGACAGGAGACAGTGTACGGGGAGACAGGAGACAGTGTACGGGGAGACAGGAGACAGTGTACAGGGAGACAGTGTACGGGGAGACAGGAGACAGTGTACGGGGAGACAGGAGACAGTGTACAGGGAGACAGGAGACAGTGTACGGGGAGACAGTGTACGGGGAGACAGGAGACAGTGTACAGGGAGACAGGAGACAGTGTACGGGGAGACAGGAGACAGTGTACGGGGAGACAGGAGACAACATACAGGGAGACAGGAGACAGTGTACAGGGAGACAGGAGACAGTGTACAGGGAGACAGGAGACAGTGTACAGGGAGACAGGAGACAGTGTACAGGGAGACAGGAGGCAGTGTACAGGCAGACAGGAGACAGCGTACAGGGAGACAGGAGGCAGTGTACAGGGAGACAGGAGACAGTGTACAGGGAGACAGGAGACAGTGTACAGGGAGACAGGAGACAACATACAGGGAGACAGGAGACAGTGTACAGGGAGACAGGAGGCAGTGTACAGGGAGACAGGAGACAGCGTACAGGGAGACAGGAGGCAGTGTACGGGGAGACAGGAGGCAGTGTACAGGGAGACAGGAGACAGCGTACAGAGAGACAGGAGGCAGTGTACAGGGAGACAGGAGACAGCGTACAGGGAGACAGGAGGCAGTGTACGGGGAGACAGGTTCGAGGCAGGGGAAAGTGGTGGTAGCTGCGTTACCATTTCCGCGCATGGGTGAGCGGCTTGTACTTCCCATACTTGACCTTCCACTCCAGCACCTCCTTGCAGCGCATGCACACGCCCTCGTGCACCACGCTGTTCATTTTCTGCAGGAAGGGGAGGAGGCAGCGGTGGACAACACCGGGGTGGTGAGGGGTGGAAGAGTGAGCGTGCCGCTGGGTGTGGGTGGAGGAGCGGCGTGTGCTTGGGATTCACAGTGAGGGACACGGGGAGGAGGAGCGCACGGATCAGAGGGCGTGGTGCAAGCTCATGGGGAAGAATCAAATCGTCAGCGGGGCTTGCTGAGCAGGTGGGACTCATCCCAGGCTAGAAAGGGATTGGACTGTGGATGGTCAAGGATAGTAACGGGGGGTGGTGGCAGCCAACGTGGGGGTGGTGGTGGCGGCAGCCAGCGTCAGTAGCGAGTGGGGGTGGAGGATCCCGTGGGGGTGGAGAGACGCCTCTCTCGCTCGCTCTGGGTGCGGTGTTGTCGCGGCAGTGTCAAGGGATGGGGACGCGTCCCAGAGGTCGTCCAGCACCATTGGCAACATCACCACCATCGGCAACATCACCGCCATCATCACCACCATCAGCACCAACACCACCATCGGCACCATCACCGCCATCATCACCACCATCGGCACCAACACCACCATCACCGCCACCATCACCATCATCACCACCATCGGCACCATCATCACCACCATTGCCACCATCACCGCCATCATCACCATCATCGCCACCATCAATACCATCGGCACCACCACCTCCACCATCAGCTTCACCGCCCACTGTTCGTTCTTCCCTCGCTGACCCAAACTCCTCTTCCCCGGCCCCCCCCCCCCCACGGATCAAAATTGTCACCCCGCTTCCCAACTCCCCTACCCATACATCACACTCGCTCATCATCATCATCAACCACTCATTGTCACTCTCATCGTCGTTGACTTCACACGCATCGTCATCCTCTACCACCCGTCTTATCGACTCATCTCAGGGCGTTTTGTCAATTAAAATAAGATAAGCGATGGTACTGAACCAGCTCTGCGAGGAGAGGTCAGACGCTGGGTGAATTGCACCGTGGAGGGAAGCCTTCATCCAGCAGTAAGGAGGTGAGACGAGCTGGGAAGAAGAAGAGGTGGAGGAGGTGGCCGTGCGAGTACAGCTGCGATGCCAAGTGGGGAGCGGTGGTGCAGCGGTTAGCGCTACGCTGCGCTACGCTGCGCTACGAACCCGGCGCCCCGAGTTCGATTCCCACTCACGGCCAACACAGAGTGACGATTGTCTGAAGCGGTCCTGGGTCTCCCCTAGGTCTACTCGGCCTCAAAATGAGTGCCTCGTGCGGGGTGCAAGCATCGCCACTGGGGAGACAAAGGCGGTCGGGCGTGCTGGTGGCGAGTTGTTAAACTCGATGCCTGATATATAGGAGCTTGTGGGTTCGATCCCAACCATGACGCCTGCTGCTGTATATATTTCGAGTTTGCGTGTCTCGCTCCCCCGTGGTCGTGTGGATTTTTCTCCGGGTCCTCCGGTTTTCCCCTCCACGTTCAGAACCAACATCGTGCGTTTAGAGTGTTTGGCTGCCATACATTTCCACAACACTCCACTTCGTTGAGCTCTCATTTGTGATAGCCAGGTAGCTTCTGAAAAAGAGCTACATATCTCGGTGGGCCTCACCTGGTGAGATAAACACGAGTCAATCACAGAGCGCACGCTTTTACGAGGGGGGATTTTTCGATGCAAAGTGTTGGTGGTGGTGATACGTGAGGAGGCTGCGATGTTAAGGTTGCGATGTGCGCAGGCGGTAGTGCGAGGTTGTGTTCAGTGGCAGGGGGCGAAGTGAGGTTGGTGCTGTTGAGAATGTGAGACCGGAGCCAAGTTTCGCGCGTAGCCACCCGTGCCTATCGGAGGTGCGGGGGAAGGAGAACAAACGGTGGGAGGTGGTGGGTGGAGGGGGGTCGTCTGCCGATGCGGAGTCGATGCGGAGTCGCGAGAGTCTCGGGGGTTGATGGACCGTCGCGGGACGGGAGATTGGGCCTCACCTGCACGCGCGGGCTCGTGTCGTGGCGGTTGTTGCGGAAGGCCGTCACGTTCTTGTGCTTCTGCGACCGCTTGCGCGCCGCATTGCCGCGCTCCGAGCTCATGGCGAACCGCAAACCGAACCGAAATCCTCTGGCTCCCACTCAACAGCGGCAGGCCACGATTCTTCCCACGCCACGTGCACCGTGACCCGGAAGTGGAGCAGTGACCCCACCCACATGATGTCACCGGAAGTGTCGCAAAGAGCGGCCATCTTAGGTAGGGATTTAAAAATTTAAAAACCTGCGTCGATAGCTGCGGCGGCTGTTGCTGGCGCTGTTGGTGCTGTTGTTGGTGCTGCTATTGTTGCTGTTGGTGCTGCTGCTGCTGGTGCTGTTGCTGGTGCTGCTGCTGTTGTTGCTGTTGGTGCTGCTGTTGGTGCTGCTGTTGCTGGTGCTGCTGCTGTTGCTGCTGTTGGTGCTGCTGTTGCTGGTGCTGCTGTTGGTGCAGAATTGGCAGAGGTGCACAGCACCAACAACAAAACACCGCGACATAAAAGACAGTTTGCGACCTCAAAAGTAAATATAATGGGAGACGTTTCGGGCAATGGCCCTTCTTCGCAGCAAGTAGATGTCAGAGACGTCCACTCTATTCTAATAATAATTCAAATGTGTCAGGCGTGTTCCATCCTAGCATCCCAATGCGCAATGCATGGCCCGCAGTGAAACACAAACAGCGGGGCAACCGAGCCAACCAAAGAGGCGAGGCCACACTTAAATATACTTAAATATCAGTTTAACGTGAATACTTAAATATATACCCACCCATCCACAAACTCGCTCACCCATTCAAGATGTTTTTCTTGTTCGTGTTTTTGTTTTTTTTGTTTGTTGTGGTTGCACCCGATTCAAGAGCCGAATGGCTCACAGGGCTATACCAAATAAACTGAAAACTGAACTTCTCATCCTCATCTCCCCCCCCAACGCCATCTCCACAACAACGCCGTTGCCCGGTTCAATAAACTCTGATCACAATACTGATAGCGGGGCTGTTTGTTGCCGACCGCTGTACGTTTGGGGCCTTTGCTCGCCGTGTTTCTTTGAGTCTATGGATGTGAGTCTATGGGTGTGAGTCTATGGGTGTCAGTGTGAATCTGTAGGTCTCTGCGAGTCTATGGGTGTGAGTCTATGGGTGTCAGTGTGAATCTGTAGGTCTCTGCGAGTCTACGGGTGTGAGTCTATGGGTGTCGGTGTGAATCTGTAGGTCTCTGCGAGTCTATGGGTGTCAGTGTGAATCTGTAGGTCTCTGCGAGTCTATGGGTGTGAGTCTATGGGTGTCAGTGTGAATCTGTAGGTCTCTGCGAGTCTATGGGTGTGAGTCTATGGGTGTCAGTGTGAATCTGTAGGTCTCTGTGAGTCTATGGGTGTGAGTCTATGGGTGTCAGTGTGAATCTGTAGGTCTCTGTGAGTCTATGGGTGTGAGTCTATGGGTGTCAGTGTGAATCTGTAGGTCTCTGCGAGTCTATGGGTGTGAGTCTATGGGTGTCAGTGTGAATCTTTAGGTCTCTGTGAGTCTATGGGTGTGAGTCTATGGGTGTCAGTGTGAGTCTGTAGGTCTCTGTGAGTCTATGGGTGTCAAGTGTGAATCTGTAGGTCTCTGTGAGTCTATGGGTGTAAGTCTATGGGTGTCAGTGTGAGTCTGTAGGTCTCTGCGAGTCTATGGGTGTGAGTCTATGGGTGTCAGTGTGGGTCTGTAGGTCTCTGTGAGTCTATGGGTGTGAGTCTATGGGTGTCCGTGTGAGTCTGTAGGTCTCTGCGAGTCTATGGGTGTGAGTCTATGGGTGTCAGTGTGAATCTAGGTCTCGGCGAGTCTATGGGTGTGAGTCTATGGATGTCAGTGTGAGTCTGTAGGACTCTGCGAGTCTATGGGTGTGAGTCTATGGGTGTCAGTGTGAGTCTGTAGGTCTCTGCGAGTCTATGGGTGTGAGTCTATGGGTGTCAAGTGTGAATCTGTAGGTCTCTGCGATTCTATGGGTGTGAGTCTATGGCCTGGGCTCTGGGTTGTTCTTCGTGCTTTTGGAGTCCCTGACCCTCTGCTCACGATCATTAAGGACCTTCATGATGGTGAACGGGCCCGGGTAAAACTACGTGGCCGGGAGTCAGATCCATTCCCTGTACACCTTGAGGTACGATAGGGATGTCCTCTGGCTCCCACATTATTTAACGTCTATTTTGACCACGTAGTTCGTGAAGCCTTCAATAGCTGTACCAGGGGAATCTCCATTTGGTACAGATATAATGGGAGGCTGATCGATGCCCGGGTGCGGTCAAGGGATGGCTCCCTATTGCTCAACCACGTTATGTATACTGATCATCTGGTAATTGCTGCTCACTCAGAGTAGGTGTTGGAGGCGCTGCTGCTGAACCTGGAGCGTGCCACTAAGAGATGGGGCCTTACCATCAGCCCCACCAAAACTAAGCACCTGCCTGGGTATTTTGTACCATCGGACACTCCACCCCCACTACTCCCAATCGGTGATGGGACAGTTGTAGAGAGAGTGGAGAGTTTCCCATACCTGGGCAGTGTGCTTATGACCGACTCCAGTTTAACATAAGAGGTCTCACTCCGAATCAGTCGAGCGGCATTATCTTTTCATCGGTTGCGTAACGCTGTGTGGAAGCTACCTGGTCTGTCGCTCCGCACGAAACTTCAGGTCTTCTCGGCCACGGTCATTCCCTCCTTTCTCTACGCTTGCAAAACGTGGACCCCCCTAATGCAACATCTTCGCCGGTTAGAAACATTTAGGCTAGCCTGCCTACGATCCATCCTGGGTTTAACCAGGCTGGATTGTGTGAGGAGCTCACAAATCCTCGAAAGATCTGGGCAAGGTCCCATCGGTGAGCTCCTCCGGCAGGCAAGGCTGCGTTGGCTGGGTCATGTAGCCCGCATGCCCAGCCACCGCATGCCGAAACAGCTTTTGTTCGGCCGGATAGAGGGGGCTAAACGGGCGTGGCACGGGCTAGAGAAGAGACGGAGTGATGTGGTACGGGAGGACGTGGAGCTGAGTGGACTTGCCGATGACTGGTACCAGTGGTGTCAAGATCGGCCTCTGTGGAGGAGGCTCGTGAAGGACGCTACTGGGGAGTTGGAGGCAGTCGCCCTCCAACAACAACGGAGGGCGGAGGAGCGACGCTCACAACAACGAGGGGAGCGCCGGGTGGCTAAAGCACAGCAGGTTGGCACAGTAGGGGGCACAGGTGGTGCATCAGCCAGTCATCTCAGTCATTTTTAGTCGACCCGTGGCACTTGGGTCTGCCCCGTGACCTCCTGCCAGCGGGCGTTCGACACTTCACGTGGCCTCAAGGTGCACATAGCCTGGCACAAGCGTCACCGCCACTTGGTGATGTCACCGCCACTTAGTGGCTATTGGCGGTTGTTGTTGTGAGTCTATGGGTGTGAGTCTATGGGTGTCAGTGTGAATCTGTAGGTCTCTGCGAGTCTATGGGTATGAGTCTATGGGTGTCAGTGTGAGTCTGTAGGTCTCTGTGAGTCTATGGGTGTGAGTCTGTAGGTCTCTATGGGTGTGAGTTTATGGGTGTCAGTGTGAGTCTATGGGTCTCTGTGAGTCTATGGGTGTCAGTGTGAGTCTGTAGGTCTCTGTAACTCTATGGGTGTGAGTCTATGGGTGTCAGTGTGAATCTGTAGGTCTCTGCGAGTCTATGGGTGTGAGTCAATGGGTGTGAGTCTATGGGTGTCAGTGTGAATCTGTAGGTCTCTGCGAGTCTATGGGTGTGAGTTTATGGGTGTCAGTGTGAGTCTGTAGGTCTCTGTGAGTCTATGGTTGTGAGTCTATGGGTGTCAGTGTGAATCTGTAGGTCTCTGCGAGTCTATGGGTGTGAGTCTATGGGTGTCAGTGTGAGTCTGTAGGTCTCTGCGAGTCTATGGGTGTGAGTCTATGGGTGTCAGTGTGAATCTGTAGGTCTCTGCGAGTCTATGGGTGTGAGTCTATGGGTGTCAGTGTGAGTCTGTAGGTTTGTCTTCTTCCAGCAGTTGTTCCTAGACTGTGGTCCGTGACGCTCCTCCAGGCGGGCTGCGGGAGCTGCGATGCCGCCCGATCTCGAAATGATGACCCTGTTTATAACATTTAGTTTCGGACATTAATATTTTACTTAGGTAGACGACCTGATCAAACTACCCTAACCTTAAGATCTAAATGCCCCCCCCCCCCCCCAAAAGAAACACATTATAGCTGCGTTAAAAAAAGTGTTTATGTTCTGGTAATATTGATCATTTCGTATTCGTGGCATTTAGAGAGAGAAGTTAATGGGTGTGGGGGGGGGCTGGGTGGTCCGGGGGCCAACTAAGTTTGAGACACCACCGACTCAGAGCGACAGCCGTCATTGACACTGAGCCAGACAACTGCGTCTGGAGTAGCAGCAGAGTGGTTGGTGCATTGCCTCTGTGACAATGCCACCGCCTCCTCCTCCATATTTGACGATCGGTCATTGGGTTCGAAGCCATACGTTCCATGGTGAAACTCGGGGTGGTGACCACAGTCTCCGCACACTGACCAGAGAAAGAGTTTTTCTTTAAATTCTCCCATTTCTGCATCATCATCGTCGTCGTCGAGGACCACCCACCGCATCTGCCGTCACGGTTTGTGCGGTCGCGGTTCGATCCGGCACCGTGGCCCCACAACCCCCCCAGAGGAAGGTCGAAGGCAGAGTTCAGTCAGGAGCGCGGTCCTCGTCGCGATAACAAAATAATAACAACAAAAACCACGATAAGAGACCAACATTCATAACATTGTCACTCGATATATATAAACTGTTTATATAAGTAATGTGTACATAAAACGTACGTATCTTTTGTTGTTGTTTAAATTACCGGTACCTATTAAACTACTAAACTAAAGCAAAAAAAAGGTCATGTTTGCTAAGTTTAGGGGCTTGAACCCATCCGGTGTGATGATGATAATACTGCATTCGCCAGGGAATGGGAACAGATGTGTCGCAGGGCCAGAGCTGCTGCAGTGTGTGAGAACCTCGAATGTCCGTGATCAACAACAGGGAAACGGAAGCAGATGAGAGCCGGCTAGATCGAGTGCTTTTGTGAAAGTGAAATAGACGTATTTAGCCAGTCGGTGGCGCTGGTGGCCATGCTGCACGTGGCGTCTCATCCAGCGCTGTGGAGGCAGCATCGAGGGTTGGCCGATCACTATGGCCGTCGAGGAGGATCCAA